GAACTGTAGCAGAAGCAAATCACAAAACATTTCTGTGTATGAGACATCAATAGAGCCACTCAAATACTTGGTGTTTTTTTCCCCATGATCCACATAATTGGCTTGCTTATGTAGTTAGAGTTCTTAATTTGTTAGCAGCTGGTACGGCCAAAAGGTGACGGAGCTTGGAGAGGTCTGTCAACACAGTGTTTGGAGACTCATACATACCATAAAGTGGAGGTCTGCACTTTTTCATGTATTCCATTTTTAAAGTTGCTTTGGCCACAAGTAACTTCTGTCTGTTATGAGCTTTACTGAAAGCTGGTGACAGGCGCTAAGAAAAGCGCTGGTGGTGAGGAAATACAGTTCTCTGCTCCTAGTGGCTATGAGCTGTTCTACGAGGGCTCACGCTCTGATTACTCAGCTCTTTACTTCTGGACAGCCTGTAAAAACACAGCTGGTTTTTGTGTCACACGCTGTTCTCCGAGAAGAGCACCTTAAATTCAATAGAAGCCAAGGCATTACATGAGCGTTGAGGCTCTGTGGGCGTTAGGAGAGAAAAATTGCAGAAGAATGGGGTATGGCATTTACAGACACTTATATAATCAAGGAATGAGTTGTATTGGGAAGCATGCTTCTATTTTAGAGTTACTGTATTTTTTATATCTCTGGGAGTGCTGTGATTTTTGCAGATTTGAGTTTTGTCATTTAGTTCTTGTCTACTCAGACTGTATGAACAATTCTGGACAGTTAAATGTGTAAAACTGTTTCATCTGCTTGAAAAAACAGAAAGCAAAACGAGACCCTTAAACTCATGAATAATTTGATGACTAATTATAAGTTTCTGCAGAAGATGGTTTCATCCTTGGTTCCCGAGTGGACTGCTGTCGAAGGAAGGAAGCCTGTACCTGCTCTTAAAAAAACTTCTCAGTTATCAGTTTAGAGTACTGGAGCAAAAAGAACAGAAATCTTCTGAGAACGAACTGGAAAGCAGGATGGATGATGTGTGTGAATGACAGCAGATTCATGGCTTGTAAGTGAATTACAGGTGTTACTGAGTGCAGTTATTTGCAAATACCATGGTGACCTAAATCAAATCCATGCAACACCTGCCTGAAACTGCCCTATAATCTCTTCTGAGTTGTTAGAGATTTTGAGAAAATCAGCCAGAAAAAAACAAACCAAAACAAACCAACAGGAGATGGAAGCATAGGTGACTTGGCTCAGTAAATGTGTAACTGGTAATTGTGATGCTAGATGTGTGAAACAATTAGTTAAAACGAACTCAAGGCACTAAGGAAAATACTTTTCAAAGGTCAAATAGTACCAGTACTGGCCTCCTTCAGGTGCTTTTGCTTGCCTCTTAAGTTTTTTGCAATACTTTTTTTTTTTTTTTTCAGTTCCAGGTATGTGAAGCTAACAAAAATTATTAGATTCTGTCAGCATCTCGTTGTTCTTTCCTAGCTTTCTCTGCAAAGATAGTTTCAGAGATGTACTGTGCCATTGGGCTTGCTCCTCATCTGATGGAGCTGAATTGTGTTCCTTCTGTTTGGAGTTTTTAGTGAATTAATTGTGTCTTCATAACAGAGTTGTCCTAGAGTTTCTGGCCAGCCCCTCCTGCATTTTCTGGGAACCTGGGCCTGTTCCCTTTCGTGATGACATTCCTCTTCGAGGACTGCATCAATGATATGGTGTATGTTCAAAGGGCCTTGGATCATATCCAGAGAAAATATTTTCTTACATCTTTTGGTGTAGAAGAAGGTAGTGTATGTCAAGCTGCTGGTGTTCTAATACAGTAGTTTTGAGCTGCTCTTGATTTGCCCCTCTCAGTAAGATTCTGAAGTGGGGATAGGATCCTTTTTGATAGGGAATTATAGCTTAGTAATAGTAGGTTGTCTCTTTAAATTACCCTGCCCATGGCATCGCATCTGCAGGCTACAGGGGATGTCCGATAACTGATCTCCATAACTGACCTTTCCGCAAGATTTGAATTCTGTTCTGTGCCTTTGAGAAAGAAGGGCTCCACTACTCTCTCTTGTCTTGTTGACAAGTCAAAAAGTAAATTTTTAAATGTAATTGAATTCTGCTTGGACTATACCTATCGTTGCAAGACTGTGGGAATTCAGAGACACTTAATCCACAGATTTGGTTCAAAAAGCAGTAATATTTGCTATTTCACTGTATAGGGTCAGTCCCCCAGGAAAACATAATAATAGTAATAATGTAATGATAATTTCACTGTTACATTTATTTTAGACAAAGAGAAACCAACCAGTGTATATCAGAGGCAAATTCTAAGGGAAACTATTATCTTGGTACCAACAATAACAAGAAAGTAAATATATATTACTATAACTCAGCAAAAGCTTTATTATCAGTTATAGCTACTGAGTAGTTTACTCATTTGAGTATCCTAGAGTTGTTTTTCATAAAATCTATTCTTGTTTTTTTTTTTTTACACGTACAGTTCTTAACAAAAGTCCATGGCTTCTGGCCTGAATTACCCTGTGTAATTGTGATGGTTTTAAATTGGACGGATCCAGGCATGATACATCTCATTGTTAAGTCTACTTCCATAACTTGGATTTCTGAAGTTGAAGGCAGACAGATACTGTCCTGGGGAGAGCGGACACAAAAACATCCCATGGTATCTAACAGTTATTAAAAGCTACACAATTAGTCTTAAGACACAATCATTTTTGCACCTACTATATGACAAAAACACTATGGGAGCTTAGTATTACACTTTCATGTCTCAACTATTGAAGTCTGTTCTGCTTTGCAAAACATTAGCAAATCCATCAAATGCTCTTTTCTTCTTAACAAAAACCTGGCCCTGTCCTAAATTGGTCTGACTTTTTTGACGGAGTTTTTCACTTGAACTGTGGAGGTTGATGGCTGTTGTTGAATTGTTTTCCAGCCCTGTCGAAGTAGCGTCATCCTCTGTCTTGCTGGAGTCGGTGCTTTTGGAGATTATATTTCCTATAGTCTTGTGTGGGAATGAACATGAGCTGTATCGTGTGCTTTCATTGAAGAAGCCTTGTGGGGCTGAGAAGGAATATGCATCCTTGTCAGTCTGATCCAGCTGGAAATGATCTTCTGTGTTGAAGCCCGATCGTGTTTTCCCAGAAGAGTGAAGATGCAGCAAATCTGCCCTAAGATTGCAGGACTGCATTTCTTTGGGCAGACTACAGTGGCTGACATCCTGTAATTCTGTGTATCCATCACAGTTTTTCTCGTTAAAACCCCTTTTCATTTTATCTGCACAAGCCTTGGTTGTGTTGATCTGCTTCCCCTGCGGTAGCAAGGCGTCTTTCTCTGTCATAACCGTAGAATGTTTTTCAGCTGTGTGTTCAGGCAGAGATTGAAGAGATGACTCGTTGCTGGAATGCAGTAGCGATGTTTTTTTAAGAATTTCATTCAAACCAATATCAATGGGAGCAAAAATAAAATCATTGTCCTCAGATGTACTAATGTTTCTTCTCATGGTCACGTTCCCTTCACCGTGATTCTTTTCAGAGGAGTTCCTGTCCATGTGCTCGTCGGTACTTCCCTCCGGTGCATTTTCTTTTTGTTCAGTGGGAGCGAAGCTGAGGGAATGGTGAGGTACAATGGGAAGCTGGTACAGCTGCAGTTCAGCCTCTTCAGGAGTGTTCTCTGTGTCATATGTGGGAGAATGTTTTAATGAAAGTAACATGTTGCCAAAATCTGTATTTTGATGGTGGAGAGAATCAGAAGCAGAGTTTTGTACTGTTGACTCTGCATTAGCAAAATAATCACACGTATCAGGAACTTCTTGACTTGAGGAACTAACTGTGTCTGAATCTGACATGCTTACGTGGTCACTCCATGTATCAGTGTGAGGTGATGCTGTTTCAGGCATGATGGTATCTGATCCATAATTAATAGTGGCATTGTTCTCATCTTCATTTTTCCCAACGTGCTGAAGTTCAGCAGCAGTGTTTGGAGACTCTGGCAGTGTTGAGAACTTCCCAGCTCTGCTGTTCATATCGGCTTCCTCTAGTGACAACTCACAGACTGGCAGGTTGTTGCTAACATCAGGTTGTTCCAGTTCAAAGTCTGCTAAAGAGCTACAGTCACTCATTGTGAATGGAGTCCCCTCATCTGAAGAACTGTCTCCAAATATATCTGCTGAAGCGTCTTTTTCATTTGTACGTTCCGTTTTGTAGTCGTGCTCTGTAAGAGGAGAGCTTTCTGTTGTCTGGTAGACACTTAAATTCTCAATATTTATATCTCTTTCGCAGCGACTGGGTAAGATAAAATCTCCCACTTCACGACTTGTATTTATGTTGCTGTTTAGACCAAGTTGTTCATCACAGCTTTGCCTTCCAGGCATAAATTTTGTAGTGCTCGTGGGTTCATTATGTGAAACTGTGCCTTTTCTTCCAGGAGAGTCTGGTGTAGCCTTTGTGATTTCAGACTGCAGCAGACCAGAGTTGTTGCTTACCTCGCTGTTCCTAGAATCTCGTGCAACTGTGTGTGTTTGTATTGTGGAAAATGGAAAGCCAGTTTCCTCCATGAAGGATAAATCCGAATCTGCAGAGTCGCTGTGATTTGAGTGAGAGTCAGCATTCAATCTCCAGGGTATGGGAGGGAACTTGCTCTTCTCTGAGTCTTCATTATTTGCAAATTTTGAATCTTTCCATAATGAAATGTCATTACTCATTAATCTTCCTAGCATTGCTTCATTACTGTTCTTGTAATCTGCCCTTACAGAAAATAGTCCATTATCGTCAACGCTTGTATTTTCATCGTTGCTGATACTAGTTTTGCTGTCTGAAAACGCTGGTTTTTTCTTCACGTTGATCTCATTATTGCTTTGTTTCTGGTACTCTTCTTCCATATTTGGTGCACGTACACCGCTAGCAATGACACTTTCACGCAAAGTAGCAGTTTCTGCAGGAAGAATGCATGTGTTTCTTGAAGAATTCTCATCACAAATGAACAAATTACGCTGCGTATTTGTTGGTTTGCTTGCAGAGCACTCTCTGCTCAAGGTTTCATCTGAAAAAGCTTGATTAGAGTAAGTATGTTCTGAACCTGAATCTTTGTTCCTGTGCATGAGTCTCCACAGGCTCACCAGGTAGGGTCTAGCAAAAGCACCCAGACAAAAAGCGCAAACAAACGTAATAAGCACCGAGAGGCAGACAGCCAGTGCAAGGTCTTGCTCTGTTTTTCCTTGTCTGAAAACAGTGTTAGTGTCCCGGGCTTTTCTAACCAAAACTGGTGAAACCCTTTCTTTCGCCTGTATATTGTAGATGAGAGATTTCTTCTTTGTTGCATTAAAAATACACAAATACAACCCTTCAGCAGTTTTCTCAGCGTTGTAGATCACCAAATTATTCATTTTATCCAGTGTCCTATGAGGAAGATGATTATCTCTTGAAATTCTGCCTTTAGGTGTCCACCAAGAGACTCCATTACCTGAAACAGAAAATACAAACTATATCTTTCTTAAAGGTATAGGATACTTGGCTTGCAGGGTCAAGTTATTTCTGTAAGAACATACTCTGACCTATCTTTGATAATTTTAGCAGCTTATTATAAAATCCATTTTCTTTTTATCCACCCATAGTCATTTTACATGGTACTAAGTATCTATTAAACCATCATATATTTCCCCCCCTGACATTTAAGACACAGTTTGTGTGGGGTCTTAATAGCTGCCTTTACAAGAAAAATGGTGTGGGTGAGGGAGGAGGTCACTGCAATTATCTAAGTATGTTCTGGATCATACTAGAAACACCTGCTGATCTCCCTCTTGGAAGATCCATATCTATAGCCAGCTGTTCTCCAGCGTGGCCACGGTCACTGTGTGCAGCTGTGAGATAAAACTTCACTAGTTAACTGTCACTGTTTCAACCACTGTGATTTTCCTGTAGCTACTGCTTTGACCGCAGCAAGAGGGTTTGAAACCCAAGGACATTTGTATCTACCGAGCAGTTGTTCTGAACTTCAGCTGTGGTAGGCCATGGCTGGTGGTTGGCTTTTGGGATGTGTTTTGAGGCGGTAACTACACCTTTGCCTTTGGATCAGCTTGTGTTCCCCGTTGAGTTTCGGTGCAATCCAGTGTGTTGATTTTATCCAACGATCAGAGATTCCGTGACTGTCCTTGTTAACAGACAAAGCAGGTGGCATTTCTGACAGACCCTACGTGTCTTCATTTGGGGATAAAGCGTTCCAAGGGGAAAGACCTCAAAGTGCTATTAGTCCGTTAGAGCCAAACCGGTTTGCCGTATGGCACGTGACAAATACACCTTCTACTCTTAAGTTTGGTCTTAGTTTTCCATCTGCATGGGAAGTCTTAGCTCTGTACATGTTGTCACTTGTACTTCAAGTGCTCTGCATTAATTGTAAATGCTGGATTCATTTCCAAAGTGAACTGTATGCTACAGTAGCTGTACTTTTTAAAATTATTTCCCTTGCAAATAAACCTCCATTTCATTTTGTTATAACTGAATATTAGGAACACTGTTGTATCCTTCTCAGTTGCCTACATTCCCCAGAAGTGCCACCCCACTATTAGGTCCTTTGTTTGCATTCCAAAATTACCTGATAAATTTCCAGCATACTGCTTATCGAAATTTATTTGTGCATAATTTGGCATCGCTTCCTAGTTTAATGTGAGGAAGAAGATGGAAGACTTTTTTTGGGAAACATGACTTTCAAATATTCTAACCAGTATACTACTTTCTAATGAAATAATTTGCATGTTAAATAATTGTTCAGATATTTTTAAACACTATCTTTAGAAATTCGCTTTTTGAACCAGATTTCTTTGATCATTCTGCATGCACTTGGATTTTAGCAGCATACGAATGGAGTCCCTGGTTTACATACCCCTCGTGCTGTCCAAATCACAGTTCAGCACCGATGTCTTCCCTGTCAGGGTTACAGCCCTCTTGAGAAAAATACTGTTGCTGCAGTTTAAATCGAAGCTTGAAAGAAACAGCAGAGGTTTCTGTGAGTTGTTGGTGGATGTACTGCATGAAATCCTCCATTTTTTCCTCGTGGAGTCAAAAAGAAAATTAAATAGAAGTTTGAAAGCTTTTATTCTGCAGTTAAATATCCAGGCATTGCTTGACAAATCCACTTCAAGTTGAAAGAAGTTCAAACTGATTAATATCTGTGGTAGAGGGGTTGTCAGAGCATTTTCACGGAGGTCCACAACCTATTTGGAAATAGTTCAGAATTAATTTGATAAGCCTTACAATGGAATCCTAATTGCAACATCAACAATAACACTTATTTTAGTATACAAGCACTTTTGCAGTTAAAGGAACAATGCGTCTGGCTAGGATTTCGAGAATATTGTTCTCAGCTTTTTAATTTAAATGTAAAGTTTAAATTGTGGGATATTTAGAATTCTCCTGTTGTAGGCTATCTCTGTGAATGGGAAGCTGCAGGGCTCTGGCCATGGAAGGGGTAGAAAAGGACGTGTGTGTGTTTAAGCCAGTTATGGATTGGTTTCTGGCATAGATAAATTGAATTTAGGGTTATATTTGATATATTTACAAGTGTGTTTTCCTATATATATGAAAATCAAATATATAAAAATCATGGTTATTTTCACCATTTACTTTAGTTTTTATAATTGTATACTAATATAATAATAATCAAAGACCAATATAATCATGCTGAATAGTTGATAATTAATATCTTTAATGGTGATTAACACAAACCATTGAAACAGTTGTAATATTGCTTTACAACCTGTAATTTGTTGAGATCCCTGAAGGCGTCTGGATGAATTTTAGTTATCTTGTTGTTTTGCAAGTCGATGCCCTTCAGCTGTGAACAGTTTTGAAAATCATTCAGATCAATCTGTCGTATGGCATTGGATGACATATGGACAGTTTGTAAAGATTGCAGCAGACCTAGTCCTAGGAAGAACAAAACTATTTTACATTCCACGTTCTTGTTTTCCCAATTGCATCAAGTGGCTTTTTAAAATTCTTTGCAACAAAATTCCTTCCATTCCTGCCTAATCCAGTGAGTGGCAGCAGGCTTGGAGTTGTTACACCTTTCCTATTCAGTGGTTATCCCATTCTGAAAGTTGCGTAGCATCAACAGCCGCCACGTTAATACGTTCACAGTCAATGCATGTTTTAAAAATTCCCATCTCCATGAAAGCAGTAACGTTCCTTTGTACCACAATCATTCCGACTGTGATTTCTGTACTTTGAGCACACTTCTCTGGAGAACCGGAGGTAGGAAAGGAGGCGTGCAGAAAGGGTGCAATATACTCGGTTTATAAAGTCCAAATGTGTTAATTGTAAATCAAAGGTGGAGATGCAAAAGGTGATACAGTATCTCCTATTCATTGCCATCTGCAAGTCCACGAGAGTTTTTCATATGTGGAATTATTTGAACCACATTCATAGGATGTAAACCTGACTGAAAACAAAACCACGTTGTTGCTTACACCCGCCTGCCTGTGAATTACCAAGCATGACAGTGTATTTTTCAGCATATCCTAGTGAGAACAGCCTCTGTCTGGCACAAGTAGCCCTTTGGGATGCTGGAGGTACCTCCTCTTACTTAGGTGCGGTGCAGGCAGCCCCCAAAGCTCCAGCCTGCAAGTTCCAGTGGGAAGGCAGGCACTTGAACACTCGGCATCACCACAGCTTGTGACACCTGGATGTCACTCTAAAGTGAGTTTTGATCATACAGCATTGTTGAGAAGCTACTAGCTCTCCTTAAAAATTTTGCCCTTGGTGTCATCTGGTTTAGTGGAAATACCTTACTTGAGTTTGCTGTTCTGTTTGCTGAGTAATTGATCTTTGGGTGTGCTGTGAAAAGCAGAAGGAACGGTTCGTTCCTGCTGTACAACTAGAGGTAGCTGATAGGCAAGGCATTCAGACGTTCGGGCAGTTCATGAATTCTTCTTTGCACCTGCATGAGAAACTGTAGTTTAGGTGCTACCCTGAAGCTAAATTTGTGCCAGAAATACACACTGGTAGGGCAGCAGCAGGCAGCACCCCGACTCCTGGGGTGGTGGTTGTGAGAAGGGTTTCTCTGTGGCCAAACCCCTCTGCTGTAGAACTTCAGCTTGTGTTTTCTTAACAGAGCTTAAAAGCTACAATGTTAGTGAAGTATTTTCAAGGAGGAAAATAGTTCTGAACATGTATGTAAATGAATGTGGGATTTAAGTGTAACTTCAAGTATGGTGGTACGATGCGCAGCAATTTGTCTTTTGTCTGACCCGCTGAGGCATCGTATGACGTGCAGTAGTATCTGTCTATCAAAACAAATCAAATGTGCCCCATTGTATTTTATAACGTAAGCTGTTCTATGCCGTCTACATGGGAACCTCGCAGATACTACAAAATAATTCAGCAGTTTCCTGCATGCCAGAGAATGGTTTAGTATCAAAAAAAGGAAAGAAACAGAACTTCAGGGACCCTGTGTAGGTCCAAAATTGTTTGCTTTGTCTGACTTTGTGAGATAAGGGGGTTTTTGGTTTGCCTCCTACCCCCCAATATTTTCAAAATCTAGAGCTAAAGAATCTGATGATGTCACCAGAGGTCAATTAGATGCAGCAAACAGTATGAAGGACAGTGTTGCTCATACTGCAGCTTCTGTTTCATTCAAACACTGTTTGGACGATGTGAATGATCTGTTTACGAGGACAGAGGCTGTCAGAAAGGCTACGATGCCTTGCATAGTTCAGCGACTAGCAAGCACTTTCTAAAAGTCTGTCGAGACCTTACAGCCCTCTCTTGTTATGAGAAGGTGTCACTTTGGTCAGGTGTCAGATGGCACAGGGCAAAATCGTGTTGACTGAACAAAATATATTTTCCTGTCTTCATGAAATAACTGAAATTGGAGCAAGTTTTATTTAAGAGAGTACTGACTTTCTTCTGAAGAGCAGTATGAAATTTATTGTCCGTAATTTTCTTGATGTTAAGGTTCACAACTGGGTTTTTCCAAAGATTATTACTTCCCTTTCTACTCAAGGAAAAATATTGCTTGGGCTCTCAGAGGATAAATTTGGTTATATTTGACTGACATTAAGGCATTATGGTTACAAAAACTGTATTAAAAAAACCCCAACCTAATCCAAAACAACCCATTTGCTTCAGTGTCCGTCTTGGCACACAGGAACTTTCCCTCACCTTAAATGTAACGAAATGAGATTGCTGCATTCTGGATTTGATAAGATGGACCCAGTCATATCCAAAACCAACTTACCCCTTGGGAGTGAGGGCCTTAAAGATTTTGAGCTGCTTACCTCTTGGAACTGCAGTAAGATTATTTCGTTCAACCGACAATACTTTCAAAGCAGGCAGGAGACGATCGACTTTTCCGTACGTTTTAGACCCGTGTGCAGGTGTCGGTATGTCCAGTGTGAGGGTGTGGATGGCGTTGCCATTGAGGTTTAGCGTTTCTAAAACAGGTAAATGTCTACAAGGAGTTAAGGAGAGCTCAGAAATCAGGTTGTTACTGAGATTCAGGTGCTTTAGCATCCACTCTTCATTTCTTCCATCAGTGCACAGAAAAGTTTTAATATTATTGTAACTAAAATCAGCTGTTACTGCTGTTCGTGCTGTAGCTTCTGGAACAGCCGATACTCCGGTAAAAGAACAGTTCAGCAAGAACTCCCCATCCCACCGGCAGCCCGAATGGTGATGTGTAGCAAGAAGAATCTGCTGTAACTTGGTTCCCACTGATCCAGGAAGATTAAAGCAAAGGACCACAGCCATGACACTCAAGTGAAGGTCATCCATAGTATCTATACGTAATACGTAAAATTATGGTAAGCTCAGCATAACAAGAGTTAAACAGAAAGCGGAAATACTTTGACATGAAAAAAGATCAACACTAAACAAATATCCAAAGCATTACCAACGTTCTGCCTTAAACACTCCATTTTGGAGGCTTAGGTATGTTTCCAAAAGAGCATTCATGAACTGGTAACCTTCCCCCTCCCTCCACCTCTCCCCAAAAACCAATCCGAACCTTTTCTTTCTTTTCCAGCCCTTTGGTTGAGAAGCGGCTTCGCAGGAACTTGTGAACAAACAGCAGTGGAGACTTTTGAACTCTACTTCAGGTATCACACACAATTACTACCGGGCAAAGTCCACCAGATACAATCCATGACGAATAGATATGGAATGATTTTCATCCTTACAGTTTAATGAAGTAGTAGTTTCCCTGTCAGTAACACAACAATGTGTTTTTAATGAAAGACTATATTCTTACAAATAACACTTCTGAACCACAGCTGCGTCTCGGAATTTATTGTTTAATTTCAAAACAAAGATTAGAAATGCAGTTGTCTTTCACCGATTGAAACCACCGTCACATATGCTGAGAACTCTTCACATGTAAATCGTTTTAACGTACCCAGTACAGTATTTTACAGAGAGGTGGGTAGAATGTACTTTTAAACACAGAACCTTAAGTACATCTGTGGGACTGAAATAAATAACAGGCCACACCATGTTTTAAATACGTATAGAAAAATGTACCTTAGGCAGTTAGAAGATAACAAAGAAATGCACCACACAAGGCCTGTATGACGCCAGCATTTCTCAAACTGTGAGCTGAAGGCAATGAAAGATATTAACAATACATAAATAGCGGCTAACACTGATAATTTATTTCATTCAGTATTTGTATGGTTGGTTTTGCTACATGTTGACAAAACCCCCACACTTCAAACCCAATTCTCCAGACCATGACTTAAGAGTACCTTTGTGACAGCTCTTTCAGCTATGTTGCATACAACATTTTAAAAAGAACTCGATAGTTACAAGGATCCAATAGTAGCATAAGGGCAGCTTTAATATGCTCTTGACGTGTAATCTACTTGACCGAGGCCGTATCTGTCATTTTCAAGATCTACTTCAGCCTTAAGGATACTGCTGCTTGTATTTTCATATGTGTGTGTGTGTTTATATTTATATAAAAATAAAGTGACACGCTTACATTAGCATGAGAGTGAAAACTCTAAATACCTTATAGCTTATTTCCTCCTTGTAACTGTAAGACATACTGATTGAGGCACTGCTTAGCAGCAAAGATGTGTGTGTGTTTTCAGCACAATGTGAGTTCAAGTGGTTAATAAATATAACTCTAGTAAAACTATGAAGTTCATGAAGGCAGTATGCAAAACTGTTAGTGTTTTCCCATAATCTTTAATGTGAGCAGTTCAGTGACTTTTGCTATATTTTATTCTGTTTATTCTGGTTTTGTTAGAACAGCTCCACTGCTTCCACCCCCCAAAACCCCAACAACTACTGAGCATCAAAATCTGTCTTTGCCTTTGAGCAATGAGGGAAACATGACCCCTCTGACCTCCCGTGTGGTATAATGCCTGACCTGAGAATCCCCCTCTAGAAACCACTTCCACCCCTACACATCCTGCATGAGGCCTTACTGACTTCTAGTAAATACAGGTGTTGGGACCTTAGCTAAAGTTCTTGCTGCAGTAGGAGCTGATTTGTGTTTTGTGGAATTCTGTGTACTTTGAGAGCTATAACACAAGGGTAGAGAGTTTGTCTTCCTGTAACAAATAACCAATTCTCAGGTTAATGTGTAACGTTTGCACAACTTTTAGGAAGAGAAGTGTGTGCTTATCTGGAAAAACTGTCAAAAAGCTACTTGCACAGTCACCTTTGTGGCCTCCATTATTAAGGTTACTCGATGCTACTGCAAAACAAAACTATTTTAAACTGAAGAAATACACGTGGTGGGGAAAGGACTAATCTTAAGGATGAGCTGGTCTGGTTTTAGTACAGAACACCTTACCTCTGCGAAAGCAGTTACGAGGCGGTGATAGTTTCTATAAGGCCCCGTTAACTGTAGACACAGTTTCACTGTTGACCAATTCAGACACATGTATTTACTCCACTATCCAATGGATGGATCCAACACCATCGCAGTTAGAATTGTAGACCTGCAGTTTAACTTCAGGATTTAATTCTGAGCTTCTCAGTAATGCATCAGCACTGACATTTATGGGGGGGAAAAAAGAGATCTGATCTCAGACACTGCTCCAACAGTCATGCTTTAGATTACTACCTGTTGAATAATGGATTCCTGCTCTGGCAGGGGGGCTGGACTAGATGATCTTTTGAGGTCCCTTCCAACCCCTAACGTTCTGTGAGTCATACACCGTTCACATCAAAGCACCCAGGAAAACACTTTTTTTGGGTAGTGAGCAAGTAGTAAGTACATCTTTAAAAATGTACTTCTAATATAAACACGTTTTATAAATACTTCACATAAATTAAGCAACTGTAGAACGCCTAAACTGCACAGATAGAATGGGAGGTTCAGCAACACTTGAATAATCGCAAGACTATTTCAAAATTCAAGTTACATTTCCACACTCGGTATTACTTTGCAAATATTACTTGTGCTAGCATAACTTAACTACGTGAGAATGTATGGCAGAAATAATGCAGTATTTTAGAATGAATCTGCCATTACCCCTCTCATAGTACACATATGGTAAACCACATAATTTTGGGGGAAATCATTATATCAACCTTTGGCAAGAAATGAAGAGAAGATAAAAATCTGCCACTTCAGCCACCCAAAGCAAATCCACTTGCAATAACAAACTGATGTTCCTGTTGATGTACTTCAGATTGCAGCTGTGTTCTCAGCAGCCCTCGAGGGCTCGGGATGTAGAACAAAAACCTCCTCTGAAGGCAACTGAAGGCAGTCAAGATTGTTGCTAAGATCACGTTCTTTAAATATATTCTACTGATCCCAATTCGGGAAGGTACCTCAGTATGCATGTAGACCACAAGCTTACCAAATCAGCGCCACTATTATGGCGAAGAGGACAATGACGTAATACTGCTGAACGTAACAGCCTTTGCTTAAAAGTATTATGTAACAGATGTTAGTATAAACTGCTGTAAACCCAGAAATCCTTGTAGGCATGCAATTACTTCATACAAATATATGTAAACACAAGAGAGAACTCTCCCGGTAGTGGTTTGTTTCAGTGCGTGGCTCCGCATGGATTGACAGAAGTTTGACAACCCATGTTATAACCTGTCACCTGGACCTTGAACAGCGTCCCATCCGCGCACATACAGAGCTTGAAACGCAGCCAGTTGCCATTGTTAAACTGTTCCCCGTAAGCAGAACTGGGCAGTCGCGATGGGCTGACCATCACAGTTCCGTTCAGGATAATGCTGTTCTCCTGTTAAGAGGGAGAAAAAAAAAAAAAAAAAAGTACAACTTTAAGTTAAACTTTTTGGAAAGGACGCGCCGGTTTAATGAATAAGTGACATCTTTAGGATGGCTATAGAAATCAACAGCATAAAAAAGTACGTATGACAAGGTTTCACTTTTTAATTAAATTTGTGAATAATGCCCATGAATGTCTCAATTATAGTCAGCAATGTACTTTGCTATTTCAGTGACAGACTGATATTGAGGGAGACAGCAGCAGTAATAACCCACCTGTTAAAGTACTACTAAATACACTGACTGCAACTGATCTTTTATGCCTGACTACTTTATATGAAATTTGAAACCATATAAAGCTACATCAGTTTATTATCAGCCTGAACTGGAAACTAAGCTGTTCACAACATGCCGACTTGAATACTTACTGCTTTAAGTTCCATGTTCCCCCCCATCCGAAACTCAATGGTCTTGCCTGTGATGAAAACACCTTCGTTTCCACGGACAATAGCACGGCCATCGACCTTTATGTTTAGGTCACTGGTTGCGTTGCTGGTAATCTAAGAACAGAAACAGAAAAAGTGTATTACAGATCAACGAAAACTGTCACTAGGGTTTGTCTGAGTAACTTCAACTACCTTAAAAATCCTGCTACGCAATTTAATAAAGAAGTTCAATGCACTTTTTGCCCTTCTGCCATTATGCCTATGAAGCTTCTGCCCATTTGTTATTTTCCACATTCACATTTAAAAACGAGGATTAATTAATTTTGGGAGGTATGTAAAATAGTTTATTTTTGTGATAAAATTTATATGACAATTTCATGGACTACACAGTTAATGCATGAAGCAAACGTAGGCTTCGTGTTAGGACTGATTATGTAAACTTCTGTTTTCATTTAATCTGTTCCTCCTATGTATTTATAGGTTTGTTTTTTTTTTTTCAGGAACATACTATTTAATTGTTAGCCTTGCAGGGGAAGAGCAAACTAAATTCTCTTTGTCCGTAACAGGATTCCTCAATGCTTCCTAAGGCACACTCAGCTCTCTGAAACCACTGACACTACTCTGCTAATGTTACAGAAAAGGACTCTGCACTGTACTCTATCTGTAAAGCTGTAAAGAAATTTTAGTCTGACATTAAGATCAACATTTCAAATGTACACACCCCGACATTTTGGTTTTTCACTTTTCTGACAAATAAAGAATATTTAATGTAGAAACTAAGTACTTGTTTAACCTAGAAGCCAGGAACTGACCCAACTCCTATAAGCCTGTGGTTCTCTACACTTGTACTCAGGCTTCCAAAATTCTGACTGTATTAACATTTATCTCTAATAGAAGAAAAGTGATACATGAAGTTCTGATAATAATTTTTGTAAGATCTTACTAGAAACAGAGGAGCTTTTCATAACATTTTTATTTCTGAAACAGTTATCCATGCACAAATGGATAAATGCTTAATAAAAAGACACACAGGCCTAGCTGGCGTGGTATTCCGGATATTACACTCATTTAATGGTGTTGGTCTCAATTTCTCTTCTAATCTTTAGAGTGATTTAAATTTTCAGAGCTGC